GGGGTGCTGGAGGTCGGTAGGCTGGCAGGCCTCCCAGCCCCCAGCAGGTCTTCACTCTTGGCTCTCCGGCCTTCTCTCAGCTTCTGCTGCTCTTGCTTCTCTCTTGGCTTCTCTTTTGGCTTCTCCTGGTGTCCCCATGACGCCGCCCTTAAAAGCCCAGTCAGCCCAGGTGAATCCCATCTACCTATGCCCACACCCTACTCCAGGTGCCCGCCGTCACGCATGCATTCAGGACCACAAGGATCCATCATCTATCCTGATGGCGGGAGGGCAGAAAAGCCTGACATTTTTCCTTACCCTACACCCTAGAAAGCCAGAAATCAGACCCGTGTTCTAGCCTGAGCAACCATTACCATCTAATGCTTTGGCCTTAAATTGTCATTTTACTTCTCTGAGTCTCAGTTTCTAAAATCAAAATGGAGGAAATAATTCCTGCCTTGCCTACTTCAGAGCTGCTGTGAGTACCTAATAAGATAGTGAATATGACAGCATCATGAAAAATAAGTACCCCACAAATGGGAAGTAATATCATTGCTTCATTATTATTACTACTAGTAAGGGTGAGGGGATCCTAAGGGTAGAGAAAGTCCCACCTTCACCCTCTGAAACTGAAGAAAACCCATTCCATTTATAAAGCCATCCCTTTTCATCCCTCCCTAGAGAAAAATCTTACATTTCCTGGACTCCTGTTGCAATGAATTACAACTTTCATTCACTCTACAGCCATCTTCACCTAACGTAATCCATTGTGCTACATCTAAGCCCACCTGAGTTCATTCTGACCCGAGTCAGGGAGAACTAATCACTATCCAATATTTTTCAGCCGACTCTTCCATTCAATCAGCAGACTTTTCCTGGGTGCTTGTCACATCTGGGCACTATGCTGTGAATAAGGCCTCAGGGTCATAATGGGCTCAGTGCTCACTCTTCTGTTACCAGTGTAGAGACCAAGAGTTGCCAAGGTGCAGCCTCCCACCTCCACAAGAAACATACTCTGTCCCAATAAATGTCTCCTTGCACAGCCACATCTCCGACACCTTTGTTCTGCAGATGGTGCCCTCCATACCCCTATGTACGGTGAACTGGGGCTCCTTCCCTTTTAAGTCTGTTCATTTTCCATGGACACCTCCCGTGCATCTCAGCGGCTCTGCTGTTGCTGTGCACACAGGCAAAGGCTGAAGCCCCAAACCCTACATGGAAAAGCCCCTCTGCTCTTGCTGTTCTTAAAGGGGCACCTGTGATCTGATGCCACCATCAATCCCACTGCCGTGTGACAAAGGAGGCATCAGACTAGGGGCTAGTCTAGCTCACAAAGTGAAAGATTCCTGTGCTTTCTATCACAGTCCATCAACTCTCCCCTAATTGCTACCTTGGTAATGTTTCCCAAAGCCAAGGCAAGTTGTTTCTGCTTGCCCCTGGTTCTCTCTGGTCAGCACCTTTGCCTGCACACCCCACCTCCTCACCTGTGTTTCCAGGCTGTCCTGCCCTCCCCCACATCAACCCCGCTGGCATGCTTCCTCATGTGAACCCCTATGACCTCTAAGTTAGTCCTGCAAATCTCTCCCAAGGACATCCCAGGTTTTCATATATGGATAGACAGATAATACTCACTTCAGTAATCCACCAACCTGCTTCTTCTTGCAAAGATCCCAGTGGCTGCTCCCTACTTCTCAGTAAAGACTCAATCAGAGAACACTCTCACTTAATAAATTTCTGCATTGTGCTTATTAGCGCCTTGTAATGTAGCCGCCTAAATAATTAAGACTAACCCACACGTGTCAAATTAAATGAGCCAAATACATTGAGAAATTGCCTCGTCCCTCATTTCTTTCATTAATCAGGTTTTTTTAAACTTCTTTTCCTGCTCACTTGCAAAAATCAAACATGGTCCGTGAGGTTCTTACTTACAGCAACTGTATTCTGACCTCTTTCCTCAGGCAGTTGCCCTGTGGGGACAACCTATTCTGTTACATAGGATAGGTTGAGTTGGGGTGACAGAGATAGCCAACTATAGACCATCCAGATTCAACAGGTTGTCCACACTCTCTAAGTCTTTGGAATTATGCCCCTGAGGTTGCTTAGGGGACTGTCTAGGAAGATCAACAGAAATATTGGCCTAAATTCAGCCACCATCTTCCATTCTCCCCTCTCCCCCATGCTCCCTAGGGCTCACTCCTGAGATGAGTCCAGGAACCCAAGTCCTTTTCTCATTAGGAGCCACCCCTGATGTGCTTTAGACAGGATAAGAAGTCAATGGAAAATATAATAGGAATCATCAGCAATTGTATCATCCTAATGAACACTACATGTGCAATGATAATGGGCTGCTTAACTCTGTCTGTCGTCAGCATGTTGAGGCTTCAATATAGTCTCAGGCGAGAAGCTATTGTTTGCTGGAGCTCAGCGCCTCCTCACAGCTTGTACTTCCGCCGGCCTCCTCCTGGCATGCTGCATTCCTGCCTCTTGAAGGTGGTTGTTAGAAAGAATCCACAAATATAGTAAGTAAACATCAAAGGGGCTTTGATCCACACGGCCCTCGACAGAGCAGGAGCCCCTGAAGAAAGGGCCAAGGCCTTGGATGAGGGAACTTAACATCATCAATTTGGGCGCTTGAGATGTAAGGCTGTTTGAAGTGAGGGCGGTTTGGCCGTGCCTTCAGACGAGAGAGCGTGAAGGGAGAGGAAGAGAAGTGAGTGCCTTTGGAAAAAGCAAGCTCAGATCTGCTTCTCTGCTCTTTACTGATAGTCAATAAGCCCCTTTAAAGAATCAGGAGATCAAAGCTAGCGACCTCCCTGGGCCGTGGCATTTTGCCACTGCCTGCCACGCTGTTTTTCTCTCAGGCAAAAGCCCCCAAGCTTGACTTATCTGTCTCTCATGGGCCCTTTCATCCCGCTGCCCATGGAGCGTGGACCTAGGCAACAAGAGGTGCATGGGAGGCAGGAAGGAGGGTGAGCCCACCCCGTGTACACCCTAACAGCCTAGATGCTGACTGGGTGGGGTTCAGAGAAACAGAGCATTGTGGGAGAGGTTGCTGTGACTCAGGGGGACGCTCCCTCTCTGAGACACTGATGGAGGAGCCCCTGGGTGCCCAGAAAGCCTAGCAAGACCTGGGAGAAGGTACAGTCACATTCCCTCTCCCGGAAATCAGACCCTTATCCACTTACCCAGTTTATGGCAGCTGTCACATCTGTGTGGCTTCTCAACAAAGAGGTCAGGGTGGTGAGTCTAGAACTGTTATGGAAAATCATCTAACATCTTTGGGGGGGTTTTTTGGTTTTCTTTTTTTAGTTTTTTTTTAAACAATATTTGCTTCCCCCCACCCCCTCAGATTGAGTCCCCGTAGAATTTCCTTCCCCAAGGCACCCGTGCACCATCACCTCAGACCCCTGTGCTCCTCCCTTCCTCCCTCTCATCCCTCTCCCTCCTCCTCCCCTGCAGTATGTCTCTGATTTATAATTGTCTGTTTTTCTTTGTTGTGTTTTGTACTGTTACTATTTTTTTTACACTGATGTCTTATTTGGTTCCCCTATATTCCTGCTATAAGTGAAACCATCCGATATTTTTCTTTTTCCTTCTGGCTTATTTCACTGAGCATAATTCCTTCTAGCTCCATCCACATTGCTGCGAATGGCAGGAGTTTATCTTTTTCGTTGCTGAATAAAATTCCATTGTGTATGTCAATTTTCTCAACTGCATAATGTGAAGAGCAACAACCTATCTCCCTACCTCATGGGGTTGTTGTGAGGGTCAAAAGGGAAACTTGGTATGGAATTCTACTTCAGAATCCATAATGTACTTAAGTCAAATCAGGATTAAAAGATAAAGAGGGCCTTCCCGGTGGCCAGCGGTTGAGCACTGGGTTGCGAAGCTGCCCGCGGCCTCTGCAGCACCAGTTCGATCCCCGGCTGCTCCCCGGCCACCGGAGGAGGGTCCCACATGGCGCGCAGACCTCTCCTGCTGCCCGCTGCTCCCCTCAGCAGTGTACTTCGGTCCTTCTGCCTGCTCTGCTCCCCGCTCTGGCTCTGGTGAATTCTCTCACCCTCCCACGCTTCTGACTGTACCCAGTGCATGTATAAACAAAACAAACAAACAAACAAACAAATAAATAAATAAAAACATGCCTCTATAAAAAAAATTAAAAAATAAAAGATAAAGACCAGCGTGCCTTCTTGTGAAGCAGATGTACTCCAGTTCAATGCTCATACATGATGGGCATTGACATACAAAATACAGTGTAAAAAAATAATAAAATGTCTCTTGCATTTCCTACCTAGGATTGTTGTCTTGTCTTGTTTTTCTATTTGAGTTCAAGTCTTGTGGGACCAGAGTCTATGCTTTGTGTTTATTAACTATGCCTAGTCCCTGTGGTCCACACTGAGTCTACATCTCATAAATGATTGTTGAGTGCCAAGTGGCCCTGAATATAATAAGATTGCATAGGAATCTGCAGCTCTAGAAACTCACTCTCTCCTGAAAGGTTGACTGTAGCTCAACCCCTGAGTCTGCCCTTACATTCACTCCATCACTTCTTCATCCATCTAAGTCATCCACCATGTCTGGTTGTATTACTCCATGCTGGATCCCACTGGCTGGACTCTGCTTCTTTTCTGCTTCCACAATTCCAGTGTGACCTGAGTCATCCCCAAGCCTAGGATATATAGGACCTCATTGACCAATAAAGAGCATGGACTCTAGAGTCAAACTTCTTAGGTTCAACTCCTGTCTCTACCACCTACTAACTCTTCATCTAAGACTACTCACTTAATACACCTTTAATGGGGATGTTGTAAAATGGTTATAATAATAGTATGTAAATCACAGAGTAGTTGTGGGAATCAAATGAGGTATTATTGGCTTAAAATCATGACTGCGCCACAGTAAGTTCTCTGTACATATTTGTTAAATAAGTTCAAAAGGGCAACGAACTTTGCAGTCCTTGCAAAGGGGCCTTCCCTGATACCAGCCCATTTCCATCTGACCCTCTTCTGCTTTTCTTCTAGAGCTGGGCCTCCAGAAGAGAGGATGCTGTCTGGTGCTGGGCTACATGGCCAAGGACAAGTTTCGGAGGATGAATGAAGGTCAGTGAAAACCTTCCCATGGAATGGGAAGGTAACGTGGAAAGGAAGCTATTCCCTACAACTACAGGACCAGGAAACAGAACCTGAGGCCTCACAGAAAAGAGAGTAGGCAGAAAAGTTTGATCCTTGGAGTTATTGACATTGTGATGTGGGAAGAGAACTAGTGCCTGAAACACAGTATGCTGATTCATACGCTTTTTTTCCTTATGCTGTCTTCCCTCCTCCCTCTGTGTCCCCTACCCTCCTTCTCTCTTCCCTGCCTTTTGTTCCCCACCCACCCAGCGCAATTAAATCTGCTTCAATTATCTTTTCTAATCCAGACCTCTCTGCCTTTCTCCTCAATCATTCACGTTTCTTGAATGCCTATTAAATAAACAGCACCTTACGGGGCACTTAGGAGAATACTAAAGAAGCATGAGTCAGAGCTTTCATTCTCAAAGAACTTATACTTGAAAACCTCCCCTCTTTTCCAATTCCATTGGCCCTACCTCTCCCCCCTTACTCTGCATGAGCTGTTCTGCCTCTTGCTTGATCTTTCCTCTGAGGTTTGACTAGGTTACAGAAGGCTTGGGAAAGGTATTGACATTGACATGGGGGCTAGGATGTGCAAGGAGTGCTGTCACTTATGGGTCTGGTGTAATAAAGAGCCTATCCCCTCATCCCCAGCCATCTGTCTCCGTACAGCTAATAACCCTCTCCATCAGATGCCACAGACTGTTTGTCAGGATTCAAAAGTAGATAAACAATGGCTAGGGATGCCATTTATTCATTAAAGTCAGACAAATGAAGCCCTGGCTCCCCACCAGCCCAGCTTGCCATGAGATGTGTCCCTCCCCTCCCCAGGCCCCAGGCCCCTGTAGCCTCATTCCCATTCCAGGCATGGATGAGAAAGCTCACCTCTAACACATCTATCCCCAAAATTAGACCATAGCACAGCTCCAGTGCCCCCTTTCTATGTGCCTCAGCTGGCTCTCTCATGACACCCATCCTCACGTGCTCCCCAGACTTAATCTGAATGCCTTGCCAGCTATAGCTTTGTCGCCAGCACCCATCACAGTGACAGTTTGACAAGAATTAGGCCAGGACTATTATGCACAAGGAGTAATTACCTCCCCTGAATTTGCTACTTGTGTGTATAAGAATGCAGCAGCATCAAGGAGTTACTTCCCATTTGTAGAATCACCTTAGCTGAGCACAGCCAGGGTCAGGGGCTGCATCTTCTGCATCCTGCCAGTCAGTCTCCCTCCCTGACTTTTTTTCTCTTTCAGCCTACCCCCTCCATTCCCAATACCACCTTCATGAGAGTGCCAGGCAGTAACTTCTAATTTGTGGGAACTGACAGCATGCCTCTGTCCGTGGTGCTGAATAGACGTGCTCTCTTGCTGGCAATGCTCATTAGAGAAGCTGAAAAGAGGTCTATAGGAATGGGGGGAGCCAAAAAGTCAGGAGCTGGCTAGATTTGAAACCTCAAGCTCCAAGTATCTGACCCCAGTAGAAGGATACTGACTAAAGATCCTGGGGCTTAAAAAGAATCATATCATGAGTCCGGTAAACTTGATTTGACTCCCCCACATTTCACAAGTGATTAAGGGAGGAGTATACTAGTCAGCTAAGGCTTTCATGGCAAAATAATATAGACTGCGTGACTTAAACAACAGAAACTTATTGTCTCACAGTTCTGGAACCTGAAATTCCAAGGTTTGGGTGCCAGAATAGTCATGTTCTAGTGAAAGATCTCTTCCTGGTTTTTAGATGGCCACCTTCTCAGTGTGTCCTCACATGGAAGAGAGAGAGCAAGCTCTCTAGTGACTCTTTTTATAAGGGCATCAGTTATATTGGATAAGGGACCTATATTTATGAGATTATTCAACTTTAATTAGCTCTATAAAGACCCTATCTCTAAATGCAGTCACTTTGGGGATTAGGTCTCTAACATTGGTGGGGGCAGGGGGAGGGGTTACAGTTCAGTCCATGGCAAAGGGTCTGAATGTATGTGCCTTAATAAAAGGTTGCAATGTTTATTCTCTGAAGTAGGCATTAAGAAACTGGTAATAAAAAGAAATTCAGCATTAGGTAGAAGACACTCCTTAAATATTGTTTAAGTACAGAAGGCAGGAAGGGAATCTGGGGAGGCTGGGAAGCAAGACCAGGACCAGATTACGTCTGAGAACTGTTAGCATTACTTTTTGCAACAACTAAGTAAAACAGCACTCTAAATAGTTTTTTTTTTCTTGTTAAAATGGGAAGATGTTAAAAACAAAGCCTATTCTCTCTGAGTCCCCTCTGCAAACACATACAGTCTACACAGATGGGTTGTGCCTTTCAGCTGACAATGGCTGGCATGGTTAAGAATGAGAGATCCCAGGTGCCTGACCCCAAACTACACCCTCCCCCTAGTGGAGACTAATTGAGATTCAATCAAGATATTCAGAAAGAGGGAGGCAGCAGAGGCATCAACAATGGCAAAGGGATATCAGAGCAGCTAACTCCATGCCCCCTGCCTCTCTCCATGCATTTTGCTCACACACCTCCCAAATACCCCCAACACACACATTCATGTACAGACTCACACATAACCACACCCGTAGTAACTGCTGCTGCTGCTGCTGCTGCTGCTGCTGCTGCTGCTGCTGCTGACCACAGAGGCAAGGGGGTGGAAAGCAAGCTAAGCCACTGTATGTGATGAGTTACAAATCTCAATTAACAAGGAGACAAGAGGAGAGGGGTGAAGCAGTAAGGCAGAAGGAGAGGTGAGTATGAGGTGAGTTAGCTTTGGCTCTGGAGGGGAGAAATGCATGAGGAGGAGAAGGGAACTGGAAGAGGAAGGGGGACTCCTCTGTCCCTACCTGAGCCAGTCTTGCTACCCCATTTGCTCTCTTCGAAAGCTCACATGCTCAGACTCCAACATGTCTGCAGATAAGAAAAGGCATCAGCTAGCATGGGGAGCTGTTTTATGGTTTATAATTATCTTGTACAGATACTCAAAATAATTACAACTTCCACATATTAATAATTGAACTGGAATAGCAGCCATGACATAGATCAAAGAACAGAAATCTCTGTCCGTGCTGCACTATACACCTTGGTATAAATTGAACAATTGTTGAATGAGTAAAAATATTATTATTTTTCTTCCAGATGCTGGAATTAGTGAGATATTAGAGCAATTAGTTGTTTCTTCCATTAAAGATAAGGTGGTGATCATTATATTTCCAATTTAGAATAAGTATAAAAGACCTACTTGTGCTGTATTAAAACATATTTGTTCTGTTAAGCAGTGTGTAATAGGAGCCTGTCACCTGGGGAGAAGTGATCCCCTATTTTATTAGTTTCCTTGTTAATTTGGTATCATTTTTGTTTTCTTTTTCCTTTACTCACCCCTCCACACTATGTACCAAAAAAAAAAAAAAAACCCAGCTTGAAAAGGAGCAAGAGAAAAATAATGAATGAACAGGAGTTTTATAGATCTGGGGTTTATCATAAGCTAGAGTACTCGCAATTGGTGCTGTTAAACTACACAAAGCAATAAAAGAAAACACTATTCAAAGATCATTTAAGGAGACATGTGATAGTCAATGAGAGGTTTGCTCTATTTTGGAAGCGTTTAATAGCTTCTTGGGTAGAATCTGCAGCACTTGCAGGGATGGAGGTGATTGGTAATGTGTGTGTGTGTGTGTGTGTGTGTGTGTGTGTGTGTGTGTGTGTGTTTCCTGTTTGGACTGATGCATCTAGGCATCAAATGGAGATGTGAACAAAAATCACCAAATGTAGACAAGAAAGGAGGCAAACTAAGACAAACCAAGAATAAGAATATCATCAAAATATCAGATTTGTTTGACATGATTGTCTTCATGTGATTAACTACATGATACTTTAAATAGGAACTGCTTGAAGGAAATCATTTATTTATTCAGCAAACATTCATTGAGTACCCACCATAAAAATAATGCCATTTTTTATAATGCCAAGCATTTTTCTAAACATTGGAGTTATAAAAGTAAACAAGACATAGTCCCTGCCCTCAAGCAGCTACCAATAAAAACACATATTGATATTGTCAGTATCAAAACACATTTTGATATTGTCACTTCCACACAGAGACCCTACCTGCCACCTCACCTGAAAGAGAGCATCCCTTCCCCACTATTGTGCTCCATCGTGACAACCAGCCTGTTTATTCTGTGGCTCTAAACCTAATCATGTGATTATTTATTAGGTTATTTGTCCCACTTAGAGAGTTGTTAGCTTCAAGGAGGCAAAGATCTTGTTTTCTTCCTCTCCTCCCTGAGCCTTCTCACACATAGGAGATGACCAGTCCATTTTAATTGAAATACAGGCATACCTCCGCAATATTACAGACTCAGTTCCAGCTAATGAAAGGTCGCATGAAATTTTTGGTTTCCCAGCACAAATAAAAGTTATGTTTGCACTACATTGTAGTCTATTAAGTATGCAATAACATTATGTCTAAAAACAACAATGTGCATACCTTAATTAGAAAATATTTGATTGCTTAAAAAATGCTAATCATCACCTGAGCCTTCAACGAGTCATAATCTTTTTGCTGGTAGGTCTTGTAAAGACGCAATTCTGTGTAGCACAATAAGCGAAGTACAATAAAATGAGGTATACCTGTAGCTAATTAGTGCTGTGAGTGGCAACACAGGGATGCCCAAGTCACTCATAGGTGAAGGTGGGTGTTGAGCTTCTCTTCATTGGGCAGCAGAAACTAATCTAGAGCTTCCTATGAAATACGTCTTCCTATCTCTGTAAGTCTGACTTGTCTGACTCTCCTCCAGTTCCAGTGCTATAACCCTTTCCTGGGAGGCCGGGCAGCAGGGAAGAAGACCTGGGGGGTGGGGGTTGGATACCCCAGAGATGGTATTCCTCCTTCCTCACCCCATGTAGCACTGGGTCACAGATCTCCAAGGGGAACCAGCGTCACTGTTCCCTCACCCCCACCCCAGACACACATAGGCACATGCTCACCTTCCCCTTTC